ATTTACAACGTAGTGTTATTTTCTTTTGTCTTTGACGTTTGTGCCTGATTTCCTTTTGCTGTCCTGTACGTATTAAATTAGCTTTCTTGAGCATACTTTTAGGCTGCTACTGTAAATTGATTATTAAACTATTTCCCCAATACGCTGTTTCCTTTAGTATTTCTAATAATCATGGAGTGCTCGAATAAAAATTGTAAAATTACTAATTTTAAAGAACGTTTACTAACATGTTGGCTATGCGATATGAACATGAACATTTAAAATGTGCCGATCTTAATGGCCGCCATTTTGATGTTCTTACTGATCGCGAAAAATATGGTTTACGTTGGGCATGTATTGATTGTAGGCCCTTAGAAATTAACTTTTATACTCATTTCAAGGATACTACAGTTGATAACCTTCCCGATACTACAGTTGATAACCTTCGGTATTATACTCCCAAAGAATTATGCATTTTGAGCTCTCATTGGACGGATTATTGTCACATGAAAGAAGTAGGTCCACGCTTTGAAATGAGCCCCATTAAGCTTTTTTCGGTCATTTTTGTTTGTTTAAATGTGTTCGCATCTTCCACCTGAACTAAATTGACAAAAGAAGAATAACAAATTGAAAAAATCTTCAACTTGTTCCCTGATTTTTTACAGCAAATGTTTAAAGGTCCTTACAAAGTTTGTCAATAGAATGTACTATTATTTTAAAATTCGATTTAATTGAATTTTTTTTTCGATTTTTTCCCGATTTCAATGAGATCTTTTTTTTGTGATTTTTTAGCGATTTTGAAAAAGTAATTATCTTTTAACTTTGGTTTGACCGCGTTAAATAATTTCGATATCATCTATTCCGTTTCGCCACCACATAACATAACATAACATACCATAACATAACGGTACTACACTCCCATATAACCCGCCATCAATTTCAGTTCTCAAGAAATCAAGACAATTAAATAAATTGGTATTAATATTCGAATTCAAAAATGAGAAGTAAGTCAAAATGTAAAAAATCAAGCAAAATAAAACATTACTATTGTCCATTTCAAAAGCCAAAATGAAAATGTTAATATATAACATTTTTACGTGATTTTTTTTGGATATTATCTTTTTTGAGAGACAATTCGACAGGAGACAATTCCGAATTTGTATAAATCGTTAGAATCAGTCCAGCGGTTCTTAAGTTATAAGCGTAGTAACTAACACAACTATATATATAGATATTATGATAAGTCAAATTGAAAAAGTCGTACATTATATAAAATTGAAAAAAAAATCAACTTGTTTGCGGATATTTACAGCAAATGTTTAAAGATCCTAACGAAGTTAGCCAATAGAATGAGCTATCATTTGGATAGCATAGCACATCATTCGATCCCATTGAAAATGTTTACTCGATTTTTCCTGAATTTAGAATTTTTGTAATGAGATAGTCTCTCTTTTCGTTACTTTTTTGGTGTAAATTTTGGTGTGAACACGATGAATTATTTCGATATCATCTATTCCGTTTCGCCTCCACAAAATTCGGTACTACAATTCAATGTAACCCATCTGCAATATCCATTCTCAAAAAATCGAGTCAATTCAATAAAGTTGATCTAATTAAAAAAAAAAACGTTTGTACACAGTAAATATTATTTTTTCCATATCTTACCCTCTGCGGAAATTATACTATTCGTATAGTTCAACTTACTATGCTGTGGAAAGGTGGGTTGTTACGAGCCAAGGCGTCCCTGTTATGTATGTGTTTATCAGGTGGGTCAAAGCTCAACCGAGGTGAAATATAGTCACTTGTGTTGGCTTCCACTCCCACATTCCTTACACGTCTTAAAATCGCAGAATGTCGAAAGGATTGACAGCGCCATTCGCGTCATTCTCTGAATAGAAGAGCACACCTTATTGCCTGTTCCTCTACATATATGTAAGCACAATAGGGTATCCAGTGCTTGAGGAGTGCTCCTGAAGGGACCCGTTATTAGTAAGGATGGGGCTCTTTGAACTTTGTCAATGTGTCGCAAGTAAGTTGACTTCTTTTACCATCCGATTCAGCTTTGTTAATGATTGCTACTCGAAGATTGTTCGTCTCTACTCGTCTGGGAATACTTCCTCTTCCGTCCTGTTTGCCTGGCCTGTTGCGGCTTGACCTCCCTTGTGGCCCTTTCCAGGCTTAGAGCTTGTAGGGGCTGATAGGGTCTGCTTGGTCACAATCGACTTGCTGACTGACGGCACGGAAGTTGTAGGTTTCGGCTGAGAGGCCGTAGATTGCTGACCACCATAGGATCCTCAACAGAGGGTTGGACCACGGGTGGGTCTTCCCTACCGTTGATAGCAGATGGTAGGAGAGCTAGAACAACTTGATTAAGAGATCAGGTCAGTAGTTGCGGGTGGTTCTTCTCGAACTTTGCAATTACTTTGAGGTTCATCTTGATCAGAATCCTCTCTCCCTCTGTAATCTGTGCGGGGTCCTGGCCGATAAATTACCGACCTTCTTCCAATAATTACCGACCTTTTTTAGCCCGGTGTTGCTTTCTCCTCTTTCGGATCGGCGACTTCGAGAGTGGTAGGGTTGCTGGTAGTATTCCTGCCAGCACCTACGTTGATGGTGGCCGATTTAGGCATAAGTCATCGGAAGCGACCGACGAAGATCCCTCCTGAAGTTGTGACTCCGCACAAGTCTCATTACACTCAATGAGTTGGCCTTTTTAAGTGACTTAGCATTTTGAGGCGAGGGAATAACAGTGATGTCAAGTTCCTCATCGAAAAGTGCCGAGTCATTTCCGAAGCCAGAAGGAACACTTTCCTGACTGAGCCTTAGTGCCTTTGTCTTTTCCAGGAGAGCGTGCGAACATAGTCGGTACCCTGACTGCAACTAAAGGGCTGCAAATGTGACAATTTTTTCTATTTATACCGTGGAGAGAACACGCTCGTCATGTTATGCCCCGTTTGATCAAACGCATAACAGTACGTGACATCCAACAAAATGCTCGATGTCTCGTCATGTCGGTCAGACTCAAACCCGTCGTCATAACATATAATGACCAGTAAAAGGGGATGTTGAATAGTGTGTCATACAAAAATGTTCTACCAAAAAAAAATAACAACAACAATGAAACAATTGCCAACGAAAAAGACACACACGTAATGAAGGCAAAGCGCTGTCGCTACCTGTTTTTTCCGATATATGAAAAAAAAAACATTTTTTGTAATAAAGTATTTCTTGGGAATACTAACATATTTCAGGTACTTCTGATGGTCTACCCAAAATTTTCACATATCGTGGTTATTGACGAAACAATCCAAAATGTCAATCCTTTAAAAAAACCTGACAAATTTTCTTAATAAAAACACGGTTTGGTTTTTCTTATTTTAATTATAATTTCATACATTTTTGTCTCCAGTACTGAGGTGTAAATGAAAATGAGTGCTACTTTAATTCAAGTAAACAACACTAAATACTTCCATTGTTCTATTCTGCGCATATTCTGTTATTGAGTGAGAGTCATATCTCTGCCCACATACTGTAATTCTAAAAGAACACTATATGTAGGTAGAAAATAGCCAAACAATATTTACCTATTATTTTATAACCAAAATTTTATGATAGACGCCAATAAATTGGGATTGTCCAGTATATTTTCCTTTTTTTCTATTCATTTGTTGATGTCTATGCATATTTTGTTATTGAATTAGAGTCATATCTGCCCTCATCTAATATATTTTTGAATTATTGGTTTTGTATTCAATTTTAAATTTATTTATTTTACACATGTTCACCGTTGAAAGTAGCACACGTACACAAATGACACACAATTATGACGACGACATGGTTCGATGTCATCGTCGACACCCTGCATTTGTGGAGAACACCATGCAAATATTCGAGTCAGCCATGCCACGATCGAACCTTTGACAATGACACACATGAATCAAAATAGGGGATGTTGTTGGTTGTCATTGCCTACCAAATACATAGCGCATGATTGAATAGACAAAGTCAGTGTGTCGAAAAAATCATAATTCATACAATTCGTCTTGTGCCTTTACTGCAAACCGAGGAACACTGATGGGCACGGTTTACGTAACACCCCAGCGTTAGGGTGTCTTTTTTGCTCGGTATACCAACACCGATCACTGTCTAATTTGGGGCACCAGTTGTTCGCCCCGTCGAACCAGGTATCATGGGCACTCGGATATTTGTTTCGAAACTCTCCTCCCGGTACCGCTGAGTTGTCCGCGACTGCTTATTTAATTCGCATCTGCCCAATATGTCTATTGCGTTCCGCTATCCGCAACCTGTGGACGCATCCAGCTGTGTTTCCGCGAACGGACGATTATATAAAAATCCATGTAACATTTTTTGTAACTCTTGTTTTTTTGCCTCGAAGTACAATTGAAATGTTTGTTGACGCACTATATCTACATGTTTTTTTAAACAAAATATTTAACTTGGCTAGAATGTGATGTGGACATTACTCTCAGCCTGTAAATTGATATAATTGGACGATACGTCTATCGCTAATATTTCGTTTGTAAATTCAAAATGTTTTGCTCTGAACGCGGCTCTAATTGTGTGTAAGTTTGTCTGTCGGCGACCGTAAATTTTTTACGTCACCAAAAGCTCCATCAAACAGTCGGAAGAACTGCAGCCGCACTGAAGTCTACTACATTTTTAGAATTCGTCTTTGCAGGAAACGGTATGGATTCTTCTTCTTCTATGGATTCTTCTAATTATATTATAAATAGGTCTGGCCGAACTTAGCTGCTTTTAATATATTTAACATTATTAGAGCTTTTCCGCTTTTTATGTGGCATACTCTACACTATAAATAGAACTAAAATAAAAAAAAACACTTAAAACTTCAAAATGTTGACTAAACCAACTGAACTAACATTCGTCTGGACTAAAAAATTGTTTTTCTACTTTTTGTTTTTTTACTCGAAGTATTTTTATTAAAAATTCTTACATATACTGTTTTTTTTTAATATTCTTAAAAATATGTATATTTTCAGTTTACTTTACCTTAAGGCACATGACGCTGATGTTGGACAAAATAGTAATTTGGAATATACAATAATGGATGCCGTTAGTAATCAGTATTTTCAAATCGATTTTTTGACTGGGAACATACAATTGTTGCAAAAATTAGATTACGAATTGATAAAAGAGTTCACATTTAACGTTATGGTAAGTATATTTTTGTGTAACGTTAAGTCCTTAATGCAGGAAACACGCAGTAACTTTGAGCTCGGCTCCTTCACTGCAACGAGTGTGTCCAATTCGTACGTACTCTAAATCGAATTACACATAAAACGCCAAAATTTAGTAAAAATGCTGGATCAATGCACAACAATAAGTACAAAGCATTACAATTCATGCATTTGGGAGAACTACATGGTACTTCAAATCGCACACCAACAATCGTTAAGTTAAGACGGGTCGAATCCAGCATGATAATGATGAGTTCCATTTTAATGCAAATCGTTGGAGAATCATTGGTATACAATTTCATACACTTCCGTCAAAAAAATGTGGCTAAATTCATTAAAATAGTGAATACCTGCAGGTGCCATTATATGACCTATTTACACAGTTGTTGATGAATATAATATGAAAAAATGAGTCTAGAATCGAAAACACAAAACTGACCTCAATTCGTTTAAAAGATTGTTTGATTCCTATGGACAGACGGACATCACTAATCGACTTAGAACTTTAGGCAGATCAAGAATGTATTTACTTTATAGGGACTAACGTGAACATTTCGAGAAGTTACAAACGTAATGGCAGTTAATACATATGTGATATAGTCATGTGATATGATATATCAATTTGGACCGCACCGAATGTCTGTTGTGGCGGAAATTCACACAGTAAGTCACAGGGACATAAAAGCACTGGGAAATAAATAAACAGACCCAAAAGTAAAACCTTTATTTTTAGAGTTTTAGTAGTCTCAGATTAGCTACAACTGGCAATAATTGTTTAGGAAAAGTAGTGGAGGTCTTATCTGAAAATAGGGCTTAGTTCTAGAAATACACTTGTTTAGCATCGGACATTGTGAAGATGAATGTTTTTAGATTTTGTTGCTTGCATTTTTTCTTATGGCTATATATGTGGTTTTCAAATTAATGGTTTGTACTTTAATTTGTGATCCGGTTTAATTATTATATATTATATAACTTTATACAAGAGATCTTTCTTTTATTTTCACAATTAAATTAGTTTTTTTAATCGCTGTTGCTTTTCATTATGTTCTGTTTTAATATAACGAAGTATTTTAATAGAAAAATAGAACTGTTTCGTTCAATTTGAAATAAAAAAGACTAAAACGTATTTTTTGTCCCTCTGAGGTCGAAGGTCGGTAGGAGAAATTATTCAAAACAGTTAAAATGATTGAGCAGTCATAAGTAAAAATAATTCTAAGCTGCAAAATTCACTTATTTATTTTATTTAAAAATTATAATAAAAATAAAGTAAATATAAAAGTAATATGTTGGTTCATTCTTCTTGCTCTTTGCGACTTTACAAAAAATTGTATGTGTGGGCTGTAGTTTGAGTGATGGCATGTGGAAGTTCAGAAGTGTGATAGACGAATTCGTATATACCTCATATGATACCTGTGACATTACTTTGAAAATTATGATAATGTTTAAGAATGTGTGTATTCATTGAAAAGCCGATACACCCAAAACGAGTCACTATTTGGTGCGGATTTTTGTCAAGAGGCATAAATAGTTAAAAAAAAAATTAAGAAAAGGATATTGACAACAATTGGATGTTGAAACCAAACTGCGCACAGTGTTACTACCGTGTACCGTGTAAAAATGGTAAAAACCAAGTCCTTCGTAGTACTAATTTATGGGAATATCTAGGAAAACATATTAATTGAAAGGAATCTGAATTTTGGTATTGATACGTTGAGATTTTTTTACTGTAATCTCCATTTTTGTCCAAACCAAATATATTATATTATGATAACTATTTACAAATTTAAAGCATCGGTCACTACAAATGTAATTAGCGTTTACACTTACTAAACATGTAGTGCTTATTTCATTACCTTTGTAAAGAAAATTTTGAAATTAGTGGAGTGGGAAAAATTTTGTATAAAAGTGTATATCGATTTTATTTGTTGGTTGAGTTGAGAAAACTGAGCCCTTCAAACGTATTGAAGCTTAAACTGTTGTGGTTCGGAATATGTCGTCATATGTTATGTCTTCACTCACAAAATATTAAGAACAGGGGAAACTAAACTGCTAAGCACTTACATAAGATTGTCTTTAAATTGTAAAAATATTGTCCTAACAGACAAAAAGTAGAACCAGGCTTAAAAGATTTGCTCGATACGGTGCTTTAATTTAGATTTTGTAAGTTTGAAGGTATTACTTATAAAGTACTTTTAATTTTTTTTATTATCTAGAAGCCGGATAACTTCACAATAAGAGGTCGCTCACATATATTGCCTATACGGAAAGTTTGGTCACAATCAAATACTGATGAATTGGTGAACTTATACCATTGACTTTGGCTCAAATCATAACAATTTTTTTTCTATATTGTCAATAATGTAAGCTAGTAAAAACACGTTAAGTTCGTGTCGAACATTTAATACCCATTCCAACAGGTGAAGAAAGCATTTAAACATAAGAGTATTAGGATTCAGTATTCAAACGAGTTTCATTTTAAACTGCAAATCCTAACGAACTTGGTTGGAGAATTTGAATGTTCAATTTTCTGCTACAGATATTGGAATATATTGTAAGTTTAAACTACCAAATTTGAAATGTTGGAAAATCATGAGGATTTCCGATATCGGGGAGTACCGTTAGAAAAAACGTGGACCTATATAGAAAATGTTCCGTCAGCACACGTTGTTGTTGTTGTAGTAGTAGTAGTATATGTATGTGTTTGCGTTCTGCTAATCTGGTTCCAGCTCCAGGTTTAGAAATTCGGCTACTTTAACGGGCTGTAGCCAGAGATCTTCTGGAGTGAGTTGGGTAGGTTTGGCTGAGCAATTAAAAAGGTGTAGCGTATTGTGCGGGCCTGTATCGCACGCTGGGCAGGCGTTCCGCACATCTTCGTCAATTCGTGCCCAATACGAATTGAGACGGCTGCACCATCCTGAACGTAGTTGGGCCAAAACTACCCTGGTTTGCCTAGGCAGCCGACGTCCTTCAGCTGCAATGCATAGGGGGTGGACTCCGAGGATGGCATTCATACTCTAATTATTAACTACCTCTGCGACTGCATCAGTATGAATTTTATTCAGACTCGCTTGATAGGCTTCATGATCTAGGGGCTCTCTCTTATATCGCTGGACCTCTCTCTCTAGATCATGCAAGTCCTTCAGACTCGCTTGATAGGCTTCATGATCTAGGGGCTCTCTCTTATATCGCTGGACCTCTCTCTCTAGATCATCCAAGTCCTTCCTGACACGCCTGGGTGCGGGAGATTTATCCACCATATGATGGTTGGGATGACTCTCACGGTAACACCCAAGCAGGTACTGCAACGAAAGCATATATCTATGCTGACGTAAGGGAAGGACCTTCTCCTCCTCATGTAGACGGTCCACTGGTGTCATGAGAAGGCACCCTGTCGCAGTTCTCAGGGCAGCGTTCTGGCAGGTCTGGATGGGCTTCCACTGCGTAGCACTAGTATTCACAGACCACAGTGGAGCCGCATAGCTGACCACAGACCGACCTATCGCATTATAAGAGGCTTCTTTGTCCGCACCCCCACGACCTGCACATTCAGCTGTGTTCTCATATCCACAGACCATATGAAGAGTGTAGCCGTTGATTTCGTGGCGGATATTTTCATTTTCCTTGTGTGGAAGTATGCGGCAATCTCCACGAGATAGGGGTTCAGCCTTTCACATATATCATTGACCATTGGGCTCGACGCCTTTGGACTTCTTGTTCTGGAATTCCACGTACGACTGGCGTCCACACATATAGTTGATTATCCAACATTTCAAATTTGGCCGGAGGGTAGTTCTCTGTACGTCCTCAAACAGTGTGGCATGATTGACCGTATCAAATGCCTTTGATAGGTCAAGGGCTACCAACACTGTTCTGTCACACGGCCTGTTCTGGTTCAGTCCTCTACTAATATGTGTGGAAATGGCGTGTAATGCTGTTGTGGTACTATGTTGTGGACGGAATCCGTGCTGGTGGTTGACAACTGTATAGCTTCCTCTAATGCTGGGGAGGAGTAAAGCCTCAAGAGTCTTTGCTACTGGCGACAAAAGCGAAATCGGCCTGTACGATTCGCCTTTACTGGCATCTTTGCCTGGCTTCAGTAGCGGGACCACCCGGCCCATTTTCCAGGTTTCGGGCACTATGTGGGTGGCTACCGACAAATTGAGAACTTTCGTTAAGTACTCGACTCCCGGCGTATCCAGCTGCTTCAACATTACCATTGAGATTCCGTCCGGGCCCAACGCTTTGGATGACTTAGCGTTACGGATGACATTTGCAACATCACCCATCATAAACTGTGGTGGTTCCTCCTCGGCGGGAAGAGATCTGATACGACGTAGTACACCTCGCTTTGTCCTATTGCTCTCGGGGTGCTCGACAAATTGTCGGTTAAAATATTCCGCGCACCTCTTCGGATCAGTCACCGTTACGTCGTTAAAAGTGACTGAGGTCCTATCATCCTTTTTTCCATGGTTCGAGAGCGACTTAACCGTTGGGTTGTACGACGGAGATCATCACGCTCATTTGCTAATCCCGCTGCCTCTGCTGGGAAGTTTGGTCTTATCTCGGGTATTCGACCAGCAGGTATATAGCGAGCGGCTGCAGCTTTGATGATGTGTCGGAAAATCCTTTCTGCTACCCGAACATCAGAAGGTTGGGAAGTTCTCTGAAGCGGCGGTTGGTGAATTCTCTGAACTCTGGCCAGTAATCTTTCCCATGGTTAAGGAAAGTGCGGCGTTCAGAGGTTATGAAATCGGGCGACCTGCTTATGGAGACGATTATCGGGAGATGGACTGAGACAAGAGAAATGACGGGTTGCCAAGTCACGTCATTTATCAGACCGGGTGACACTATGGTTAAGTCTGGCGACCTGTGACACTCTCCTCTTATTCGGGTGGGGGCATCCTCGTTAACCGTGCAGACTGTAGAGCAGTCAATCTGCTCTGCCAGCGCTGTTCCCCTCTGGTCATTACCTAGGAC